AAGAGATACCCTGAGGGCCTGAGCAGTATTCGATCAACCCTAGTTTTATGCAGAATACTGACAGCGAAGTCAGCGAATGAAGCCACCATGAGCAGCCTGCCCCTATCTCTTGAATAGGATTTTGACAATGTTGCAGAGCAACAACTACCCGATGGAGCCGAATGTGCCTGTTTCATGTATGGTTGATGGTCGGAGGTGACGTACAGTTTTTCCAGGCAGCATGTGAGCTTTCACGAACCGAAACGAGGACAAAAGATGACAAGGAGGATGCGGCTCGAGAAAAAGAAGAGCAGCGCCTCTGGAGTGAGGACAGGCTGATACAGAATGCAACACCGAAGAAAGAAGAATCGCCAAGTCCGGCGAAAGGTGCGAAGAATCTGCCTGTGCCAAGGTAAGCACTCTTTGCTACTCGAACTGCTCAAAACTAACTGTACTCTGTAAAATTCAGATCGCCAGAAGCTCGCAACACGTCCCCATGGAGGACGCAAAGACGTGCTGTTGCCGTGGTTAGACCGCAGCCGGTCGTAGTCATGAGGTGATCTGGTTGTTCCCAGACCTCGCCCCAGATGATTCTCTAGATATAGTGAGAGTTCATTGTTCCAGGTCATCTAGTCCTGTGCCGAAGCTCGCTGAGACAAATGGTAGACCAAGCCGCTTACCGCTCAGTACCGCTAACAGGGAAAAGGAGGCGCTGAAGAAGGGTAAGTAGGGTATCTTTCCTATGAGAATAACTTGGAAATGACGTTATTGCTCGGTCACCTACGAGGCCAACAATAACCTTGAAGAGATTATAGCTGCCACAAGTTTGGAATCCCAGTTGCCAAGGCCGCCATCAAGAACGTCGTCAACTCGAAATGCTATGAGCACATCCACATCTTCCCTAGAAACTTCTTCGAAATCGTCAGGTCCGTTTCTTTTCGCTCAAAGGGTCATTAAGTCATCACTTTGACACTTCAGGGTGGCTTCACTAGGTTACTAAAGTCGTAGGAAAGGCCAGTAAGAAAGAGTTCACACTAGATGCTGCGTTATCTGTATACTTGCAGTTGGATCCAACTCGTTCGGACTGCGCAGGTCCTCGACGACGTCAAATTTCGGGAACGGATCGACGTCAACTTCATCGTTTTCACTTTCTCAGTCCAGGTAATTTCTTATAGTTTCCAAGGTAGGCATGATAGATGGAGATCAGCAAGTTTTCCTCGTCGTCTACAAGTTTCACGTGATGGCGTCAGTATGCGCTCGATTGGGCCGGCTGGTTGCAGTATAGCGTGCCACATTCTGGACTGGAAAGTGCACGGAAACGGGCTGGAGATGGTGGTACTCGAGTGCCGTGTCCACGCTCCGCCCACCCTATATCCTTGAGGAGCAGCACTTGCGCAGATACCACCCGAGCTGCACAAAAAAACTATTGGCGTCAGGGAAGAACGGCAAGAGATAGTGAGAAGCGTCGAGACAGTAGCGGTTTTGAGCCTCCGACCGAATTAGGCCGTACGAGCTGGTCGGCGCAAGCAGCGCGGAGGTCAGAGTAGGGACTCCACACTTAGTAGCTGGATACTCTCGCCTTGTTACCGCGCACTGCTGGGTGGAGAAAGTAGCATGGGCAAGTGCTAGTGCAGCTGCGGACCCATTCTCCCCAAACATGTCAAGGGCCAGTATCTACGGAGGTGAGTGTACAAGCTGTCTTGAAAGACATATACCAAAATCGCTATTAGTGGGCGGCGCATGGGCTCCGTCGTGAGCGGCTAGCGTCCTTATCACGTATTTCTGAGCCGCGGAAGTGAGACGTTCCCTCTGCTTACAGATCAGACTGCCTTATCTAAAGAAGGTGGATGCACAACAGGTGGCGTGAAAACGTGCTTCCAATCGTAAAAAGTCTGCCGCTTTCCTCTCTTACGAAGAAGCCCTAAATAGCAGCCTAAGCGAGGCGAAAGCCGCTAGACATACAAGGGCGAATCGCAGCATCAAAACTGCTATATAGCTACGTAGAAAACTGACCAGGATGGGTGCTGAGGACTTGTGTTTTGACCCTTCCAATGTAACAAGTAATGTGGCTTAATATGTTGCGGACCGCGTGACACACATGGTGTGTCATACATTTGCCTTTATGCCTTGCTTTATTTGATTCATTTGGCTTTCGTTTCACATTGTAATGTTGTAAAACGCCCTTGGTTACGGAAGATACATACCTCATAAGGAATTGGAAAGAGGAAGGAAATTACTCATGAACTACCGATGAAAAATGAAAGGTTCGGGGGATGCGCAGTTAACTCATGAACTACCGATGAAAAATGAAAGGTTCGGGGATGCGCGCAGTAGGCGGTCCGCAGTGTGTTAAAGGGAACCTTTATCGGGGCTTATATTAGGAAGCGTGGACTGACCATTGCCCCAAGGATAACCGAGAGTAGAATATGCCACTCAGCACCTGCTCACTCGAGCCTGGGGGGGGCGAGTGGCCACATCGAAGACGGGTCATCGTCAACAACAGGAACCACGTTCCTCCCTGCCAGAATTACCTGTAACAGCAGATACAATGATTGCGTTGTTATTGTCTGAGACTGTGAGTGTTTTCAAAATGATATCGATTCTCACGAATTCAGATCCTCGTCTAACCTTCGCCGACCGTCCTACGGTCTATCACGTGTTTCCAGTCACAGCACATTGGAACGAAAACCCGGACACTTGTCGATGAAAGTTCGACCCACGGATTCCTAGTTTCGTAATAACTTTCTTGTTGAATAGTTTTTAATATTCCCTCTTTTCACCAGGGTTTCTTGTGTGCTCAGCGCAAAGTTTTTTGTCGAGACTTAAAATTGTGAATTCGTTTGCCTTTTTCTGTAGTACATTTCCAAGCGTGAGGCGAGTAAAAATATTTGTAGGGCCACGTTTTATAGATGGATTTCTCAATATTCAATAAATTGAGTGTAACAGCACTCAGTCTCGACGGGGCGATGCTTCAGAGGAGCTGCCCCGTTACGCCGCACTGTCGTCTTCTCGCTGCCATAGCCATTTAGCGTTTGTGCATGGTCTTTCCCTTTTGTGTTCTGCATGTCTTTTCCCTATTGTGATATCCTTATTAGCAGCGTTCTATTCGTCTTTGTATAATTCCAGCATCGCGACGCGACCGCACGCGTCGGATTTTGCGAGTCTTGGCTGGCCTCACGTTAGGAAATGGACTGAATATGTTCGCTAGCTGAATTTTGTTCAAAAAAAATTGCATGTCTACTAGATCAAATGTATGTAATAAGCTATATTAGAGCAGAAGCAAATGTTATATAGGCATTCTTAGTATTGTTATACTAGCTAGAATGATAGATAGAATTTTGTTCTTTGCTGTCCATTGAGTTCAGCTTGTTTTGACCTCTATGAAGCTTTACAGAGTTACTATTTGTTTGGCATCTCATTTTCCCATGTAAACGTGTCTTGAGTGCCTTCTCGTGTATGTACTTGTTCATATTGTTTTTGAAGTGCTATAAATGGTTATAAACTTATTTTTGAGCATTTTTTTCACAGCACATACAAGGTCTCCTTGTTGGTTTCGAAATCGTTCTCGTTCCTGCGGACGCTAGGCCGTCTTTAGTGGGGCTGGATATGCCGTGACATTGGCTTATTGTCCACTAATTACTGTCTTCTGCCAGCTTCCACAATTGGTGGAAAAGAGGCTGGCGCTACAGCCTGCGCAATGAAGGCACTTCTCCTCCCCCGTCCCCCGAATGAAGCGCGTGGCATGCAGTCCGCGAGCGAACAAGACTTTGAGGTGGGGGGATCTGCCAGGAAAAAATGTGACTAACTCAAGGCGAAAACATAAGATCACATTTTAGCGTTCGCAAGGGGGTGTGCTGGAGGAATTGGCTATGGGGGCAGCAGCAGTACGTACTTGGCTGTTGAGGCAGGATGGGTGATAGGTGGGTGCATCGATCTTTTCCCGTGCCCTGCCCACCCTGCTTTTGTGGATAGACTGGCCGTATATCAACCTGAAACGGGAGTGGTCTATGGCTGGCTCTCGAATCCGAGCCATTGGAGGCTCACTTTCCAATTTAAGAATCACTAAGAGTTGAAACGAACCACTTCTATCCCTTATACCTACTATCTTACAATAACTCCTTTTTCCTTGTAATTGGTAGGACCCCCCCCTCTCTGGCCCTATCGAATCGAACCGTCAAGCAGGGGGAGGTACAGTCCTCATCATTGCGGACCCGGTGAGCGCGGTGTTCCCCAGCCAGAGGAGTGCGCACTGTTGAAGCCGTTCTCAGCCTTTTTTGTTGCAGCGCGTATGCGACAAAAAGTGGTAGAAAACGAGTAATACGAAGGATATAATACAGTAATGCACTTACCCGCTTCAAAAACTGGTGCAGAACGACTTTGCGAAACCGCACCAAACGCAGCCGCACTGCCACGCCCCTCCGGTCAGCAGTGATGAGGACTGTATACAGTACGCATGGAACAGGAAAATCACAAAAAGTCAACCACCACTCCACCACTCTTAGAAAGGCCAGAAGTAAATACGATCCCCTCCCTCCCAACAATGAGCAACTAGATGAGCCCCCTCCTTTTTTTTTACAACGTCCGTGAAACGAGAAAATTGAACTACCGCCTAGAAGAAGCATCCATAGATAAGAGCGGTTTAATTTACCGGTGAAAAATGAATTGGAATGAAATTGAAATTGAATGCAGTCACCCCTCTAACTTGATGGATGGATAAATAAAAATCGGAGAAGAAGTTTAGAAGAAGCTCCGCCCCAACTCTAAACCCCGCCCACTCAATAAACAATTCATATAGAAAAATAGCGATTTCAAAGAAATTTCTGTATTTCTTTTTCTCTTCTTCTTCTTATTTTTCTTTCTATTTCTCAATTTTCTGGTGTAGGCTATTATTGGGCGATACATCGGTGGGCACATCAACGCAAAAAAAACGTATACGGAACGTCATCTTCATTTTCTAGCACACCCGTCTTATTATGGACGGCGGTCTTATCTATGAGGATTTTCTAGGGTACAAAACAAATTTTTCTGCAGCCAAATAACGACCGCCCCCTCTTCCTGGCTGCCAAATATGACCACTTCTTAGGGATTCTACAACAACGATGTGCCCAGCCACTGCTTCTTTACCGTCCCTCGCAGTAGCTGTTCTCATATGAAAAACGGTAATTGAAATTCATCATTTTCGACACACTTCGCAACATGACTTCCACCAAGAAGCCACAACGTGGTTTGGAGGCATTATGCGGGGCATTTTCTCTGAATTTAAGTCGCTAATGGTACCTTCCACAGTATAGTGTTTAAATGGCCCAATCGCTTTCGCTTGAGTGACTTCTGCCTGGGAGAAAACCTTCGTCCAGGGAGGCCACCTGCCTTGGATTGGGACCTATTGCACTCCTTGACTGAAACCACTTCATACAAATCAGCTCGCTATCTGTTCCTTACACTTGACTGTTCCATAAGCACAAATGACGGAGGGCCTCGCTCACTTAAAAAAAGTATTGACGTTCGGTTTAAATTTTTCTCATGAGTTAACCGATACTCCATATGGAGCTCTTGTGGGTACTGTCTACAACATTCTCTACACCCGCTATCCGCCGTACCGGACTGGTGAACGCATTTAATGATATGGAGGTGTCTCTAGGTGAATCACTCCGGAAGCCAGTGGCTAGATCCTCTCCAGAAAGGGCAGTAATCGTTGGCGCAAATTCTACCCATCAAGTAGGCGGTGAGAGCTGTTATGTAGTGGTTTTTCCTCCAACACAGGCTCAGGGTCCAGCACGTTTGAAAATGACACTGCTCGAGATCCTGAAGCTTAGCTAGGGAATTCCACCACAGCCTTCGTGTAGCCCTTACTCAGCTCCTTCCAATCGCCGTCTTTAAACTAATCCCCTCAGCGACCCACCTTTTGGTACAGAAATACGATTCTTTGAAAGTACCCACAAATGATCGCCAAGCTACTTTCTCGGCGCGGAACCATAAAGCTTTCTGGAAGTAAGGCAACCACTTCTCGCACTGGTGACGTTAGCCAACAAGTTGCCGATAAAGGCAACCACACATGTATTGATTGATACAAAACTGCTTCATCACTGAATACACTTAATCGCAAAAAGTTTGAATAGTCATGAACTTTAAGGACCACGTAATATTATGGGCAGGTTTGATGTATAAGACATTGGTTGTATCCTTCCAGGTACGTCCGGTACCAACCTGTCGAACAGGGAGCACTTTCTTATTACTGACGGGCCTAGTTCATCAAGTAAGCTAGCACACGCACGGAGCTGCTACAACCTTGCTTCTGCCACAGCAGTGAAGATTCGCTGAAGTTCATCTCTGAAAGAAAACAAAAGACAAGTAGAGGAAGAAATAACTTCCACATTAAGAGAACGAGTACAAGAATGTCCTTCGCGACAAAAACGGGTGCGTCTTAGCATTAAGACGCAATGTCGCCTACGTGTTGATAGATAAGAGCGGTTCGCGCTAGGAGATAGCCGCCTGTGTACTTTTCCCATAACAAAATTTTGCATTAGTTTTCTTTCGAGCTCTGAATTTTTTTTTTGCATTTTCCCTTCTATATAATTTTTGCATTATTCACCCTTTACACCCCACTACTCGGAATTCAAACCAAGCTTTGGTCGAAAATTGCCGTGGGCAGATTCTCTAGCGGATAGTACTCTGTCTCGTGGTATCCTATACTTCTTAACATGGAAATCACATCCACCTGCCTTAAAACCGTCACCCACACCACAAGCATCGGCGCCAAAGCGCCGTACAGCCCTAAATTTTCTGAAAATTTTTCCGAAGCTGTAGTTTGACCCTTGACTAGTAATATTGACACTCCCATGGCACAAAAAAACCCTACCACGTGCGCGCCGGACGCTGGCACCAAAATTTCTTGGAGTGCTGACGTCATTGATGAGCAAAGCGCTACAGGGCGCGCCAGAACCAAGCGGATGTGAAAATGTGTAAGTAAACTGTGTAAATAAATATTTATTCATAGGAGGTCCGAGTATCCCGGAGACAAGGTCTGTGTCTTGGGCAAATCGAGATTCGATCAAAATGTGCTCTGATTTTTGAAGAGTCTGCAGTAAACGTTGCATAGTGTCCTTGTTTCCTTTTTCAGGGATCATGAGACGGCGTAAGTCCTACACGGCTCATTTCAAGCTTGATGCTGTGAAGTACCGTGATGTACATGGAACGTCGGCAGCAGCCACTCACTTTGATGTGGCCGAAGGAATGGTTAGAAAATGGGTTGTTGATCGGGAAACCCTCGAACAGATGCCACCAACGAAGAGAGCCCGACGTTACAAGAAGCCAAGCATTGTCCGTCATTTTTTTTTTGCGAAAATTGAACCGCTCTTATCTATATGGTCTAAGGGTAACTGAACTCCTTTTGCAGTTGTCGCACGAGAACGAAGACCACCCCAGCGACGTTCCGCTCTCTTCCTTTCCGATCGATATAGCACCGGTCAGCCATAATTTTCTCTGCTTTTGTCGGTTTTCATCAATATTCCTGCATTGCTTTCTCGGTTGCTCTCATGGGCAAAATGGTCTTCACTACAAAATCTAAATTTTTCCATGAAATCTATGTTATTTTAAAATTATAATTGACAACCTAATTTACTTCAGTAATAAGATGTGCCTTATTACTTCAGTATAAGATGTGCCCTGTTTGGGAATATTATCTGTGCCTGAGAATTGTGGCTCACGAACAGTACTGATTTCAGCACCGTTCGTGAGTCAGGATTGACTGATTGATCTCAGCTGCATAAACTAAAAGGTTTTCAAAATTTTTCAAAAAAAATAAATCAATTTGAAAAAAAAGAAATTTTCATCAATCGACAAAAGGGCAAGGTGTGATGGGTGGGAGAAATATCCTCAAGGGATGCAATCGCAGTACATTACTACGTACATTTTCCTCTCGGTACGAGACCACACGAATCGATTGAGGTCGTGTGTGTGTTCGTAACGACCCCGCTCGGCCTGATAGCCAGAGGTCACTTTTGCCTAATGATTGGCCATCATCGAGCTGTTCCCCTTTTAGTGAGAGCGACTAGGTGCATCAAGAAGGTCCCGGTAAGTCTTTAATGATGCCGACAGGCCAAGAATTCTTTTTTTTCCATGATTTTTTTTGCAGTGAAAAAAGTAACTTGCGAAGGAAGTTTTGGATTTTTTTGGATTGTTGACGTTAGGATTTTTTTTGGATTGTTGACG